CTTAAAGGAAGAACATAGGCAGCGTAAGGGGGCCCCCCCACTAATGAATACTCATGACCTCTAGTAATAAGAATAACGGTTGACCAGTATCAAACGCGGTTGCCACTTGGCAACAATTTTTTTGGGTGTACTTTCTTCCTTTTCTTTCCTTTCTTTCTATTAAACTTTCTTTTCTACTTCATTTGTGGTTGCGATTTCATTTTGCACCTAGGGACAGATCTCTAATTTTAGTGATCTGGACCCAAAGAACCAAGGATTTCATAACGCAGCTCAACACTTTTCCATCCTTTAACAAGTCCAGCATTTGAGCCATGGTTGGCCACATGAAAGGCCAGCACCTTAACCATGATACCACCTGCTGGCTCCAACAACAAAGCATTTAAGAGAATAAAATTCCTTTTAAAAAAACCTAAGATTTATGAATTAGAAAACAAAGTCAGTAAAAGAAATGAAAAATGAAAATCCGAATCTAAGAAACAGCAAAAAACAAACACACAAAAAATACAGTAACCCACTAATTAAAAACTTGACTAAGGTTTTGGTTTAATTACCTAACATTTAAGGTTCCCATATTTTTAACTATTCCTTTATAAGAAGATAACAATCTTTCCAAATAGCAAACACTTCCAAAAGCTATTTCACCATAATTCCACATTTTGAAAACAGGAATGAAAACAGTAAAAACCACAGCAAAAAGTAATTTAATTAGAAAAAAAAAAAAAAACGTACGGGGAACCAGCAGTTAGCGTAATGGCTATGTCGCTGGACTCCCACGTACTCGATCGCGGTTCGCGTCCCAGACCCAGTGGCTTAAAACTCACACCGGGCGCATGTGCGTGCGTGCCCAAGATCCCGAGAGGAGAATGGAGGAGAAGGGATTGTGGTGTGACCATCCCCCCTGGGGGGTGATTTCTCGCTTTCTGTCGGTCTGGCGAGCGCACGCGCCCTATAGCAAAAACCTCTCCAGAAAACAAAAAACAAAAAAAAAGAAAAAAATTGGTACGAAAAAAAGGACACATATGCAGTGCATTCATACTGGGAAAATTCATTTTGCATGCTTAAATGATAAACAGTGATTGAAAGTATAAAACAAATAAAATATATTTTTAAAAGACCACATTCATTTATACTGAAAATAATTCTGAATAAAATACTGACAAGTTAGATTTAGCAGAGTACAAAATAATAATATGCCATGACTAAGTCTGATTTAGCACAGAGTGAAAAATTGTTTAATATGTGAAAAATCTATTAGTGCAACTTAACATTTAACAACATAAAGGAAAAAGTCATCTATGATAATCTTGCAGCAAAACAAGGAAGGAATTTGCTTGATTTGATATAGATAATATTTCACAACTTATAATAAATACTCTAAGTGGTCAATGTGTCTGTTACAATCACTTCTATCCAGTACTGAAAAAGACATCTCAAACATCTCAAGAAGGGTATAATAAAATCAAAAGACTACCCTTTTTTTTGAGAGGTTTTTGCTATAGGGCGTGTGCGCTCACCATTAAGACTGAGAGAAACAGAGAGATAGAAAGCGAAAAATCATCCCCAGGGGGGATGGCCATGCCGCAATCCCTTCTCCTCCATTCTCCTCTCAGGATCTTGGGCATGAACCCACACGTGCCCAGCACGAGTTTAAGACACCAGGTCTGGGACTCAAACCGCGACTGACTACATGGGAGTTCAGCAACAGCCATTATGCCAACAGCTGGTGCCAAAAGACTACCCTTATATGCATATAATTAACTGCACTTAAAAATCCAAACAGGTCTATAAATGGAATTAAAAACAGTTCATTGAAATTTATAAATATAAATAAGATCAATATACCAATATAAATTTTATTTTTTATATATCAAGTATAAACAGAAAATTTGACTTTTAAAAGCAAAGATTTAAAATAGTAACAAAAATATTAGAAAATAGGATATATTTTAGATACCCAACAAATCATGTTCAATTTTACAGACATATAAAAATGAACACCACATTATTAGTTATTAAGTAAATATTGGGTCACTGGAAAAGTCATGATGTATTTTTCAGTTTTTAAATGCAAAAATGCATATGACATTTCTGACAAACCCAATACAAATCACTACTCCACATATTCTAGAAAGTTATAAATATGATTACACAAAAACAGATGGGAATGTGGAAAAACTAAAACAATCATAAATTTTTAGTGCAGTTGAAGCATGGTACAACTTGCTAGATAATCACTTAAGCAGCTTCCTAAAAAGTGAAATATAATCTTACCATATAACGTACAATTAACACTCCTAGGAATCCACCCAAGGAAAATGAGAACATATATATGTCCACAAGAAAACCATATGAACATACAAAGCAGCTTGTTTCTTAATTGTCAAAGGCTAGAAATAATCTCAATGTTCATCACTTTGTCAATGGACAAAAAGAAAAAGAAAAAAAAAAAGATAGTATAGCCATTCAATGTTACACCATTAATCTAAAACAATTAAAGTAAAATGGAAGCTCCTTCTGATCATCTAAATTAACACAGAATATGCACTATATATACATGGGAGTCCAGCAACATAGCCATTACGCTAACTGCTGGTCCCTGCATGCTCATCTTTCAAACAGAGTATTGGAAGTTCTAACCATTGTGTAACACACACACAGAGAGAGAGAGAGAAAGAATTAAAATACATTCATAGTCCAGCCCATGGAGTGGTGGCTAAGGCACCTAGATCCCACATGACTGACTACATAGCTGGAGTCCTAAACCCAGCAACTCGAAAACATCAGGTATGTGTGTGTATGCATACCCAAAATCTGGAACAGGAGGGATAAATGAAGGAGAAGAGACTGCAGTATGACCATGTCCCATGAGGAATGCTTTCTCATTTTCCCTCCCTCTCTCTGTCTCTCTATAGCAAGCACATACACTCTCTGGCAAAACTAAAAAAGAAAAGAAGAAAGAAAAAAAGGAATGACACTCAGCTAGGAAAGAAAGAAAGCAAACTGCCATTATTTGCAAAAGACGTTATTATGTTATTACCTATGTAGAAATTTTTATAGAATGGAATCTACAAAAAATGTTCTAAAACTAAAATGTGAGTTTACCAGAGCTACAGGATACAAAAATCCCTATAAAAACAACTACAATTATAAATAATAGATTCAGATTAATATATTTTAAAATATCCTTAACAATATCATCAAAAATATAAAATGTGGGCATTGACTCCATGGCACAGTAGTAATGTTCAAGAGAAGCCAGATCCTCTATGGCAACCGTGGTTCAAGTCCCAAGTGCAGATGCAGAGACATGCCATATATATGTGTACATATATTTTTTTCATATATACACATATATATGAGAAATATGTGAAGTCCAACATTCCCAAAAAATGCAAACTATAACTATTGCTGAGATAAATTAAAGAATAATTGAGGTGGAAAAGAGGTATATATTATGTTCACAGGTTAGAAGATTATAGTTAAGATGTCAATTCTCCCCCAAAGTCATCTGTAAGTTCAACATAACCCAATCCAAATCTTTATATATGCTTTTTTGAAAACAGGCAAACAGATTGTAAAATTTATATTAAATGTTAAGGAAATGGAAGAGCCAAAATACATTTGAAAATAAAGACAAAGTTGGAGGATAAAGGAGGATAAATACAACATGACTTTGAGCCTTACCTAAAAAATACATTAATTACAAGACTATGTTAGCATAAAAAATAACCAAATAGCTAAACAGAACAAAATAGAAAGTCAAAAATAGACTCACACACATATAGATATCATGTATGATTGACAAAAATGCATAAGCAATTCATCGATTAAAGGATTCATCTTCAAAGAAATTATACTTGAACACTTGGATATCTATATGGAGGCAGAACTTCAGCCCATCATTTATAATATGTATAGATATTAACTTATAATGGAAAACCTAAAAATCTAAAACTTCTAGAATGAAACATAGGGAGAAATGTTTGTGACCCTAGGTTAGGCTAACATTTCTCAAAATAACAAACTGTTAAGTACTAACTGTGCAAAGGGTTGAGAGGTATAGAAGAACTGAAACTCTCATACACTACTGATGAAAATGGAAACATTGTTGGTACAGTCAACAGTAAAGGTCAGTACTGACCCCTAATAAAGTCTATCACAGAAATTTTTTGTTTTCTTTTGTAAAATTTATGTGAGAGGGCACATGCGCACACTAGATGCAGATGGAGTGAAAGTGAGAAAGCAACCTCCCTTGGGGAATGGTCATGCTGTAATCTTTCCTTTTCCATTTCTCCCTTCTTTTGAGATTTTGGGCATGCAAACAGAAGCGCCCAAAGATATTTTCAAGATGCAACTGAAACTTGAAATGCACTGCCAGCATGTGGACTCAAGCTGTCATAACCACCATGCGCCAGGCTGGCACACAAAATTCTTGGTTCAAAAACTGGTCATAATAGAAAACATTACAAAAAAACACCTGAGTTTACTCAAATTCTATATTTTGTTCCAAGTGCAAAATAAGATCTTAGTCCACTGTGGAGAAACAGTAGTAACACAACACTCCATGACCCAAAGTCACATGGAAAAAGTCTTGTGTCTGTGTCCCAAGGTTTCCTTGCACACATTAAGTGCAAGCTAACAGCATCATCTGGCTACCCTAGGCATGGATGGACCATGGTGTGAACACCCTGCTGGGTGTCTCTCTCTTTCTCTATGTCTCTCTTTCATTTGGGAAAAACTAAATAAATAAAATTAAAAAAAAAAAGACCTATTGATATTTTAGTAGCAGAATAGGAAAAAAAAATACACCAAATACGATTAAAGAGAATATAAGAAAAAAAATGCCTTTCTTAGCATAAAATATGGAGACGCATTATAAGGTTTAACAAATAAAAAGTTTTAGATATTAATGGCAATTTTAAATATGTAACATAGCATTTATTATTTGAAACTAATAATATAAATCAATTGTTTAAGATGAAAAATAAACAAATACTTACAATAACATGTTCCTCTAAGTGGATTACCAACATAGCGATTTTCAGAATCACATCTGTAGAAATACAAAAATTCATTTACTATTAAATGATGTAATTTAAAAGTCTCATATTTTTCTTCAAGCAAAAGGTGAGTTAAACTCTTTATTAAAATATATTTAAAATTAAATTATTAATTAAAATTTTAAAACAAGTTTTCAAAAGAATTAACTGCAGAAAGCCTATATTTGAGCATAATTAAGAGAAAAAAAATAAGTACCAGGGAAGAAAATACGCATACATGAAAGGACCATGAGGAATGTCAAAAAGCAGGAAAAGTCTATCTGGACACATTATTTTCTTTTCTTTCTCTTTCTCTTTCTTTTCTTTTCTTTTTTTCTTTAGTCTTCCTCCTGAGAGGTGGAGGCTGATGAGCATCTGAACAGCCCATTATTAGCTGTGATCTTTTATTTATTTATTTATTTTTAGGTTTTTGTCATAGGGCATGTGCACTCACCAGAAAGAGACAGACAGAGACAGTGAAAAGTAAAGTAAGAAATCACCTCCCCAGGGGGGGTGGCCATGCCGCAATCCATTTTCCTCCATTTTACTTCTGGGATTTGGGGCACATGCACACACACATGCACACATGTCTGGAGTGATTTTCTTTTCCCTTTTTTTTTTTTTTTTTTATAGATTTTTGACATAGGGCACATGTGCATGCCAGAGAAACAGATAGAGACAGAGAGACAGAAAGCAAGAAATCACCCTCCAGGGAAGATGGCCATGCCACAATCCCTTCTCTTTAATACTCTTCTCAGAATTTTGGGCATATAAGCACATGCTCCAGCATGAATTTTAAGCCACCAGATCCAGGACTCAAACCATGGTCGACTACATAGGAGTCCAGCGATGTAACCATTACACCATCTGCTGGTTCCACACATTTCTCTAATTTTTGGTATTCTTTAAATGAATATATTTTCCCCCATTTCTATATCAATGTATCTGCATGTAAAAAAATCTACACAGTTTTTTTTTAACAATTTATCTCTAAGTCAACTCTCTAAACAAAATACATTAATATGAAACAAAGAACATTAATATGGACCTAATTTCTTTTTTTAGACTTACTTATATAATTTTATTTATTTATTATTATTAGTTTTTAATTCACCAGAAAGATACAGAGAGAGAGAGAGAGAGATAAAGCGAGAAAGCAAGCTTCCAAATCTAGGACTTGAATCGTGGTCAGCCATGTGGGAGTCCAATGCCCCAGCCACCATACCACCTGCTGGACCAAATATAGACCTAATTCTGGAACTCACAATTTGAATAAGTATATTCTAAAAAAATTAATTACCATATAAGAGTCAAGCTTATGAATGCTAAGTTAAATACATAAGAAATATGCTTAACTACAACAGTGGGAGAAAATCATTAAGTTTTTCAACATTTTTTTAAGTACAGATTTTTCATTTTATATTTCCAGAACAAAATTACAATGACAGTTAATGCCTGACACAGGTATAGCTTGGTTTTTCATAATGCTATTTCTAGAAACATCCTCCAAAATAAATTACTGTAAGATATATACAGCAGAGTAACTGAATAAAGCAACTTAATATTTCAATTTCATGTAAATGTTTAAAGAAGTGAAAAATAACTTTCAAAATGTCTTTAGTTCTAGTAGATATCATTAAAACACAGGAATACTTTAATACATGTATATTTTCTTTTTTTGAGAGATTTTTACTATAGGGCATAGGTGCTGGCCACAGAGACAGTGAGAAAGTGAGAAATTACACCCTGGGGGGATGGCCATGCCACAATTCCTTCTCCACCATTCTCTTTTCCGGATTTGAGTACACAGGCATATGCACCCAGTGGGTAGCAACATGGGAGTCTAGCACCTTAACCACCATACCACTTATTGGCCACAATACGTGCATATTTTAATTAGTGAGTCAAACAGTGGAGAATAATAGGCTAAATAATCACATTGTCTCTCAATGTATATCTTTGCAATATGCTTGCTAGTTTTTGTAATAAGGCAAAAAAAAAAAGTTGGAGATTAAATATGTTTCTGTACTAACTACAAAAATAAATAAAAATACAGCCCTTTAAAGTACTAACTCTTGAAGCACAGGAATGTTATGCCTTGTAGATCTTCTTGATCTTACCAACTACTTTCAAAATTTGTGTTATATAGTGAGTTTTCTAGCTTTAGAAAATAATGATCCTCATTATTCCTGGTTCCTGGTTTAAATACTTTATAATCTATACTATTCCTATACTATTGTTACTTCAGACTTGCCTTCTTAAATTCCATCACTTCATGCCAAGTCTATACCTAATTTACATATGAAATTGTAATCCCTTTTTCTGTTATAAAAAAATAAACTTGACTTGTCACAAATGAGTATTCCTTTTTTTAAGAGAGTTTTTGCTATAGGGTACATGTGCTCACCAGAGAGACAGAAAGCAAGAAATCACCCCTTGGGGGGATGGCCACACCACAAACCCTTCTCTTCCATTCTCCTCTTAGGATCTTGGGCATGTATGCACACACACACCTGTACGCATACACAACCCACGTGAGTTTTAAGCCGCCAGGTCCGGGACTCAAACCACAATCGACTATGTGGGAATCCAGTGACGTTACCATTACACCACCTGCTGGTCCTACAAATGAGTAGTTCAATACCACTGTTAGAACAGGAAAATATTCAGTGTAAGAGCTAGCTGGTGGCATGGTGGTTTAGGCAAATGGATTCCACATGCTGATTGCACAATTCAAGTCCCAAACCCAGCCGCTTGAGAAACAAGCCAGGTACATGTGTGTGCATGCCCAAAATTTAAAAAAAAAAAAAAAAAGGGGGGGGGAGGAAATAAAGGAGACAGAATTACAACATGACCATCCCCCATGAGGGTATTTTCTCACTTCCCCTACCTCTCTGTATCTGTCTTTCTCCAGTGAGTGCACATACTCTCTAGCAAATTTAAAAATATTTATTTATTACTTATTTATTTATATTGAACACAATATTCCCTACATTGCTATGTAAAATATTCCTAGCATATCTTACGTTCTCAAAAAGATACATTCAAAATCCTATGGCAATCTAAAACTACTAACTCTCACAAATGACAAGGTATTTCAAGTACTTTTTGACTGATTATATTATAAATTAACTTTATGAGTTCCAGAATATAAACACATTTCTCTAATATAGAAGTTAAGAAGTTTAATTTGTTAATAAATTAAAATTACATCATCTTAAATTGATAAGTAATACAGGCACCAGCTGTTGGCGTAATGGCTATGTCGCTGGACTCCCATGTAGTTGACTGTGGTTCAAGTCCTGTACCTGGTGGTTTAAACTCATGCCGGGTGTGTGTATCTGCATGCCCAAAATTCCAAGAAGAGAATGGAAGAGAAGGGACTGCAGTGTGGCCATCCCCTCTGGGGGGTGATTTCTTGCTTTCTGTCTCTGTCTTTCTCTGTCTTTCTGGTGAGAGCACGTGCCCTATAGCAAAAACCTCTTCCCCCCAAAAAGAAAATTGATAATATAATTTATTTACCTTCAACACAATATAAATTTAATAAAGGAATGGTTAGCATTTTGTTTCCTCTAAATTGAAAATTTTCTAGGAAGTATAAAAGTACATTAATGCTCTTGTTTAGGAAGTAACTTTTGCCAGCTTTCATTAGCCAAGCTCTGAATTTTAACAAAAATAAGGAATCAACACCACCCTGTTAAGAAGTTAACTGAGAAGATGTATAAAATTATTGAAGGTGTCCAATATAGTAATTACATTCTCTCAAATTTTCATAATTCAAATAAGCAAATTAGAAACATACACTGAGTAAAATGCTTTTTAATAATCAATCAATATTGAAAAAACATTTTTCAGGTTTTTGCCATAGAGCACATGCACTATTGGAGAGAGACAGAGAGAGGGACAGTGAGAAATCACACCTGGGGGGGATGCCCATGCCACAGTCGCTTCTCCTTAATTTTCCTCTCAGGATGTGGGGCATATGCACACACATACACCTAGTGTGATTTTTCAAGCTGACACTCGAACCATGGTTGGCAATGTGGGAATTCAGTGCCTTTACCAACATGCCACCTTAACAACCACCATGCCACCTGTTGAACCCCATCAAGAGAATTTTTAAGTGAGTAAAAGTGTTTTTAAATGTATAATTATGAGTTAAATTTAAACATCCATTTTTAGTAGTTTTATTTTGAGTATCATTTTTTTAAAAAAATCACAAGTATCTACAAACAGCTAGGGAAATAAATAGCTCCAAATGAAATACAGCAATTATACATTAGGTATAAAACTCAGCTGAAAAATACGAAAATGGATGTAAATGGAAAGACATTCTTTATTCTACACTTAGCACACCTTAACACCATTAGGATGGCAGTTGATTTCAAAGGTAATCTTTTACTAAATCCAATGAAAATGTCAATGAACTTTTTTTCTTCTTTTTTTGGAGATGTTTTTGCTATAGAGTGCATGCACTCGCCAGAAAGCCAGAGAGAGACAGAGAGACAGAAAGAGAGAAATCACCCGCAGGGGGGATGGCCACACCACAATCCCTTCTCCTCCATTCTCCTCTCGGGATCTTGGGCACGCACACACACGTGCAGGGCGTGAGTTTAAGCTGCTGGGTCCGGGAATCAAATCACTGTCGGCTACAAGGGAGTCCAGCAACATAGCCATTATGCTAACTGCTGGTCCCGTCAATGAACTTCTTAAGAAGCTAAAAACTTGGTCTTTAATATTCTTGTACAGAAAAAAAAAGCATAAAGAGCTAGAAAAAACACTGAAAAGAAAGAGCTTTGAAGGGAGTCAGACCTAAAATACAATCTCTCTTTAACTAGTATAGTATCAGCATTATCAATAGAAATACCAAAGGTATACAAGAAATGGAAAATAGATATTATGAAAAAGCTAAGCATGGATCACATTTTTTGTTTCAAAGTAAATTCATACTTCAACTCTATTTTTTAGTGAACTTTTAAAAGTCCCCTCACATAACAGGAATTCCAGAAACAGG